CGGGCTGAGCCAGGGACAGGGGCGCGCAGCCTCACACCCCGGGCTGAGCCAGGAGCAGGGGCACGCAGCCTCACACCCCGGGATCAGCCAGGGACAGGGGCGCGCAGCCTCACACCCCGGGCTGAGCCAGGGACGCGCAGCCTCACACCCCGGGCTGAGCCAGGGACAGGGGCGCGCTGCCTCACACCCCGGGCTGAGCCAGGGACAGGGGCGCGCAGCCTCACACCCCGGGATCAGCCAGGGACAGGGACACGCAGCCTCACACCCCGGGCTGAGCCAGGAGCAGGGGCACGCAGCCTCACACCCCGGGATCAGCCAGGGACAGGGGCGCGCAGCCTCACACCCCGGGCTGAGCCAGGGACAGGGGCGCGCAGCCTCACACCCGGGCTGAGCCAGGGACAGGGACACGCAGCCTCACACCCCGGGCTGAGCCAGGGACGCGCAGCCTCACACCCCGGGATCAGCCAGGGACAGGGACACGCAGCCTCACACCCTGGGCTGAGCCAGGGACAGGGACGCGCTGCCTCACACCCTAAGCTGAGCCAGGGACAGGGGCGCGCTGCCTCACACCCCGGGCTGAGCCAGGGACAGGGGCGCGTAGCCTCACAACCCGGGCTGAGCCAGGGACAGGGACGCGCTGCCTCACACCCCGGGCTGAGCCAGGGACAGGGGCGCGCAGCCTCACACCCCGGGCTGAGCCAGGAGCAGGGGCACACAGCCTCTCACCCCGGGATCAGCCAGGGACAGGGGTGCGCAGCCTCACACCCCGGGCTGAGCCAGGGACAGGGGCGCGCTGCCTCACACCCCGGGCTGAGCCAGGGACAGGGGCGCGCAGCCTCACACCCCGGGCTGAGCCAGGGACAGGGGCGCGCAGCCTCACACCCCGGGCTGAGCCAGGGACAGGGACACGCAGCCTCACACCCCGGGATCAGCCAGGGACAGGGGTGCGCAGCCTCACACCCCGGGCTGAGCCAGGGACAGGGGCGCGCAGCCTCACACCCCGGGCTGAGCCAGGAGCAGGGGCACGCAGCCTCACACCCCGGGATCAGCCAGGGACAGGGGCGCGCAGCCTCACACCCCGGGCTGAGCCAGGGACGCGCAGCCTCACACCCCGGGCTGAGCCAGGGACAGGGGCGCGCTGCCTCACACCCCGGGCTGAGCCAGGGACAGGGGCGCGCAGCCTCACACCCCGGGATCAGCCAGGGACAGGGACACGCAGCCTCACACCCCGGGCTGAGCCAGGAGCAGGGGCACGCAGCCTCACACCCCGGGATCAGCCAGGGACAGGGGCGCGCAGCCTCACACCCCGGGCTGAGCCAGGGACAGGGGCGCGCAGCCTCACACCCGGGCTGAGCCAGGGACAGGGACACGCAGCCTCACACCCCGGGCTGAGCCAGGGACGCGCAGCCTCACACCCCGGGATCAGCCAGGGACAGGGACACGCAGCCTCACACCCTGGGCTGAGCCAGGGACAGGGACGCGCTGCCTCACACCCTGGGCTGAGCCAGGGACAGGGGCGCGCTGCCTCACATCCCGGGCTGAGCCAGGGACAGGGGCGCGCAGCCTCACACCCCGAGCTGAGCCAGGAGCAGGGGCACACAGCCTCACACCCCGGGATCAGCCAGGGACAGGGGTGCGCAGCCTCACACCCCGGGCTGAGCCAGGGACAGGGGCGCGCTGCCTCACACCCCGGGCTGAGCCAGGGACAGGGGCGCGCAGCCTCACACCCCGGGCTGAGCCAGGGACAGGGGCGCGCAGCCTCACAGCCCAGGCTGAGCCAGGGACAGGGACGCGCAGCCTCACACCCCGGGCTGAGCCAGGGACAGGGGCACGCAGCCTCACACCCCGGGCTGAGCCAGGGACAGGGGCGCGTAGCCTCACACCCCGGGCTGAGCCAGGGACAGGGGCGCGCAGCCTCACACCCCGGGCTGAGCCAGGGACAGGGGCGCGCAGCCTCACACCCCGGGCTCAGCCAGGGACAGGGGCGTGCAGCCTCACAGCCCGGGCTCAGCCAGGGACAGGGGCGCGCAGCCTCACACCCCGGGCTGAGCCAGGGACAGGGGTGCGCAGCCTCACAGCCCGGACTGAGCCAGGGACAGGAACGCGCAGCCTCACACCCCGGGCTGAGCCAGGGACAGGGACGCGCAGCCTCACACCCCGGGCTGAGCCAGGGACGTGCAGCCTCACACCCCGGGCTGAGCCAGGGACAGGGGCACGCAGCCTCACACCCCGGGCTGAGCCAGGGACAGGGGCGCGCAGCCTCACACCCCGGGATCAGCCAGGGACATGCAGCCTCACACCCCGGGCTGAGCCAGGGACAGGGGCGCGCAGCCTCACACCCGGGCTGAGCCAGGGACAGGGGCGCGCAGCCTCACAGCCCAGGCTGAGCCAGGGACAGGGGCGCGCAGCCTCACACCCCGGGCTGAGCCAGGGACGTGCAGCCTCACACCCCGGGCTGAGCCAGGGACAGGGACGTGCTGCCTCACACCCCGGGCTGAGGCAGGGACGGGGCGCGCAGCCTCACACCCCAGGCTCAGCCAGGGACAGGGGCGCGCAGCCTCACACCCCGGGCTGAGCCTGGGACAGGGGCGCGCAGCCTCACACCCGGGCTGAGCCAGGGACAGGGGCGCGTAGCCTCACAGCCCAGGCTGAGCCAGGGACGCGCTGCCTCACAACCCGGGCTGAGCCAGGGACAGGGACGCGCAGCCTCACACCCGGGTTGAGCCAGGGACAGAGATGCGCAGCCTCACATCCCGGGCTGAGCCAGGGACAGGGGCGCGCAGCCTCACAGCCCAGGCTGAGCCAGGGACGCGCAACCTCACACCCCAGGCTCAGCCAGGGACAGGGACGCGCAGCCTCACACCCGGGCTGAGCCAGGGACAGGGGCGCGCAGCCTCACACCCCGGGCTGAGCCAGGGACATGGGCACGCAGCCTCACACCCCGGGCTGAGCCAGGGACAGGGGCACGCAGCCTCACACCCCGGGCTGAGCCAGGGACAGGGGCGCGCAGCCTCACAGCCCGAGCTGAGCCAGGGACAGGGACGCGCAGCCTCACACCCCGGGCTGAGCCAGGGACAGGGACGCGCAGCCTCACACCCGAGCTGAGCCAGGGACAGGGGCGCGCAGCCTCACACCCTGGGCTGAGCCAGGGACAGGGGCGCGCAGCCTCACACCCTGGGCTGAGCCAGGGACAGGGGCGCGCAGCCTCACACCCGGGCTGAGCCAGGGACAGAGGCGCGCAGCCTCACACCCCGGGCTGAGCCAGGGACAGGGGCGCGCAGCCTCACACCCCGGGCTGAGCCAGGGACAGGGACGCGCAGCCTCACACCCCGGGCTGAGCCAGGGACAGGGGCGCGCAGCCTCACACCCCGGGCTGAGCCAGGGACAGGGGCGCGCAGCCTCACACCCCGGGCTGAGCCAGGGACAGGGGCGCGCAGCCTCACAGCTGGGCTGAGCCAGGGACAGGGGCGCGCAGCCTCACACCCCGGGCTGAGCCAGGGACAGGGGCGCGCAGCCTCACAGCTGGGCTGAGCCAGGGACAGGGGCGCGCAGCCTCACACCCCGGGCTGAGCCAGGGACAAGGGCGCGCAGCCTCACACCCCGGGCTGAGCCAGGGACAGGGGCGCGCAGCCTCACAGCTGGGCTGAGCCAGGGACAGGGGCGCGCAGCCTCACACCCGGGCTGAGCCAGGGACAGGGGCGCGCAGCCTCACACCCCGGGCTGAGCCAGGGACAGGGGCGCGCAGCCTCACACCCCGGGCTGAGCCAGGGACAGGGGCGCGCAGCCTCACACCCCGGGCTGAGCCAGGGACGCGCTGCCTCACAGCCCGGGCTGAGCGTCGCTGGCGCCTCTTCCTAACAACCCTGAGCCGTCTTCACCGCCGCCGGGTCCCGCCCGGAGCTCCTCCCGCCGGCCACGCCCGCCACCCGCGCGTCCTGATTCTTTTTCTTGTTTTATTGCAATGGCCAGAAATGCCAGGATTGTCTGACCCGCAGCCAGGCTTCCTGCTCCGGGGGCCTCGCTACTGGCCTGCCCGACGTCGGTGGGGACCCTCGGTAAGACCAGGTAAATCCCCTTCGGTTCGTGCGGAGCCGGCGGGGCCACGGGCCCGGGGCCAGATCCAGTCCCCGAGGAGGAGCAGGAGGCGGGAGGAGGAACAGGAGGAGGAGCAGAAGGAGGCGGCGCTCGGGTGGGGAGGGGGCCTTGGGGCCGGCCCCGCCCCGCGCCCCCCGCCCCCCCCTCAGTCCCGCCCAGAGCCACCGCAGCCACACCCCGACCCCCCGCCCCCTCAGCCCCGCCCAGAGCCCCCGCCCCCCACTTCCCCCCGCCCCCCCCACTTCCCCCCGCCCCCCTTCAGTCCCGCCCGGAGCCGCCGCAGCCGCACCCCTGATCCCCGCTCCCCCCGCAGCCCCGCCCCCGATCCCCGATCCCCGCCCCCCAGTCAGTCCCGCCCCCCAGTCAGCCCCGCCCCCAGTCTGCCCCGCCCCGATCCCCGCCCCCCTCAGTCAGCCCCGCCCCCAGTCAGCCCCGCCCCCAGTCTGCCCCGCCCCGATCCCCGCGCCCCGCCCCCAGTCAGCCCCGCCCCCCTCGGTCAGCCCCGCCCCCTTACCCAGCCCCGTCCCCCTCAGTCTGTCCCGCCCAGCGCCCCGCAGCCCCGCCCCCCACCCCGCTCCACCCCCACCCCGCTCCCCGCGCCCCCGCCCCGCGCCCCCGCTAATGGAGCAGGACCCCTGCGGTCGGAAGGTTCCTCCCCAGCGGACGGAAACTGGGTCCGTCTCAGGGAAGGGTCTGGAAAACAACAGGGCGGGGCGGGGCGGGGCGGGGCCGCGCGGGCCGGGCCCGACGCCGCCGCCGCCGACGCCGCGGGCGCAGAGCGCGTGCGGGCGGCCCGGATGCCGCAGCCGCCCCGGGTCTCCCAGCCTCCGGGCCCCCGCAATCCCCCGGGCCCCCGCAGGCCTCCGGGCGCCGCCCCGACCTCGGAACCCACGCGGCCCGCCGGGATGCTGCTCCGGCCCCGGCGGCCGCCGCCGCTCGCGCCGCCGTCGCCGACCGACTCGGTGGCCGAGCTGCTGCCGCCGGCCGAGGACGCGCCGGGGACCCCGCCGCGGGGCCCGGCGGCGCCCGAGGGCGGCTCGCCCGGCTGGCCCGGCGCGCCCGTGTCCCCGGGCTCGGCGCAGCGCGCGCCCTGGAGCGCCTGGGAGACGGAGCTGCTGCTGGCCGAGCTGCTGCGGCCGGCCGTGTGGCGCGCGCTGCTGCTGGACCGGCGCCGCGCGCTGCCCACCTACCGCCGCGTGTCGGCCGCGCTCGCCCTGCGGCAGGTGCGGCGCACGCCCGCGCAGTGCCGCCGCCGCTACAAGTTCCTCAAGAACAAGGTGCGCGAGGCGGCCGGCCAGCCGCCCGGGCCCTTCGACGCGCAGATCCGCGAGCTCATGGGGCTGCTGGGCGACGACCGGCAGGCCGGGCGCGCCCGCCGCCGCCCCGCGGGGCCCGGGCGCCCGCAGCGCGGCCGCCGCCCCGCGCCCTCCGCGCCCGCGCCGGCCCCGGACGAGCCAGGTAGGCGGGCGGCGGGGCGGGAGAGGGGAAGGGACGGCGGGGCCGGGCGGGGGAGGGCGATCGGGGCGGGAGGCTGGAAGGGGCGGCGGGGCCGGGCGGGGGAGGGCGATCGGGGCGGGAGGCTGGAAGGGGCGGCCGGGGAGGCTGGAAGGGGCGGCGGGGCCCGGCGGGGGAGGGCGATCGGGGCGGGAGGCTGGAAGGAGCGGCCGGGGAGGCTGGAAGGGGCGGCGGGGCCCGGCGGGGGAGGGCGATCGGGGCGGGAGGCTGGAAGGGGCGGCCGGGGAGGCTGGAAGGGGCGGCGGGGCCGGGCCCCGCCCTCGAGCGGGGGAGGGCGATCGGGGCCGAGCCCCCGCCCTCGCCGACCCCGCGCTCCCTCCCGCAGGTGCAGCGCCGCCCCGGGCCCCCGCGGACCCGGAAGCCGACGCCGACCCCGCCGCGGCGCCCGAGCCGTCGCTGCCCCGCGCCGCGGACCGCGGCCGCGCCGCCGCCTCCCCGCCGCCCCCCGCCGCCGCCTCGGCGCGCCGCACCCCGGACCCCGAGCCCGGCCGCTCGCCCGGCTCCCCGTCGCCCGGCCTCCCCGCGGACCTCTCGCCGCCGCCCGCCGCCGCGCCGTCGCTGAACGCCGCCCTGCTGCAGACGCTGACGCACCTGGGCGACATCGTGGCCGTGCTGGGCCCGCTGCGCGACCAGCTGCTGACCCTGAACCAGCACGTGGAGCAGCTGCGCGGCTCCTTCGACCAGACCGTGTCCCTGGCCGTGGGCTTCATCCTGGGCAGCGCGGCCGCCGAGCGCGGCGTCCTGGGCGAGCCGAGCTAGCCGCGCCCGCCGCCCGCCCGAGCCTTCAATAAAGCGGTTGTGTTTGACGTGGTGCGGAGTGCGTGCGGGGCTGCGCCGGGACGGGGCCGGGCGCGCTCTGCGCCTCCGCCCCCGGGGAGGCCGCGGGCGTGGGGGCGGGGAGGCCGGGCGGGCCGCGGAGGATGTCGCCTGGGGCGCCTCGCTAGCATGACAATGGGGGCCGGGGGCCCCCTGCCCGGGTTCCGGGCCGCTGCGCCCCGCCCGCCACCTCCCAGCAGGTGACCGGCCCGGCCTGGGTCTCCGGGAACTGGAGGAAGTTGCCCACCGGAATCCCTGAGCCGGGCTGTGGCTCCGCGCACCGCGCCGCGCCAAGTTCGGGCCCGTCCACTGACAACAACCCACACCAAAGCTTCGGGTTGGGGCTTCAGCAGACTCCTTCAGGGACCAAGTCCGCAATCGCCCTCGGCCTGGGCAGAACACCACGGAGTCTGCCCCGTGGGGCAGGGCTCTGGGTGCCACCGCCCCGCGCTCTTCACCCCTGGCCGCATCCCCACGAGGGCATGGTGGGAAGTTACGTTGTTGTAGGAACTTGGTAAGGACAGACTCAGGTGAGCACGGCTAACCTGGTTTCCTTTGTCTCTAAGCCTACCTGCTGTTTCCTTGTTACCAGCCATGGCCTGTCCCCAACTCACGTCTTCTTTTTGCCAGTGCTGGGGTTTGAACTCAGGGCCTGAGTGCAGTCCCTGAGCTGCTTTTGCTCAAGGCTAGCACTCTACCACTGAGCCACAGCGCCACTTCGTTTTTTTCTGTGTTTGTGAGGACTCGAACCCAGGGCTTCGTGCATGCTAGGAGAGCACTCTTCACTGAGCCACCTTCCCAGCCTGGCCACCTTACTTTTGTAAGATTGAGTATTTAATTCTCTGGAAGACCCACGTCTTTCTTCCCCCATAGATGGGTACTGGGGTTGCTTTTCTCCCACTTGGCTCCCGTGAGTGCTGCTATAGGCCAGGGTGTATACAAACCTCTTAGGAACTCAAGGATTTCAGCCCTTTTGCATGCATTGGTAGAAGTAGATTGTAAAGTAATTCTACTTGTAGTTTTTGGAGCAAAGGCCAGACTTCCATAACAGCTGTGCCATTTTAACTAAAAGGTTCCTGTTTCTCCACACACTCGAACACTTTTGGGGATTTATTATAACCATCTCAGATCTGCACTTGCCCAACTTACAGGTTTTGTACACACCCTTCCCTTGAGTAGGTACTTACTGTGTCTGACCCTTTGGTGCCCTTCTTCCCTAGACCTCTGGTCCTCTCCCAGCCGGCCTGCTCGATCCGCAGCCCAGAACCTGGGCTGCTGGCCCTTGCCCTTCCCCATCAGTTCAGGATGTCAGGCACACTAGACAGGAACTTAGCCCTCCTCACTGGCCAAATTCTTAAGGGCTGTACTATGGCCGCCTCCCTGCTGTGGTTAGCTTCCAGCCCCCTGCCTGGCTGAAGTCCGGGGCTCCCACCCACACCACACTGGGGTAGGCCTGGGGATACCAGAGCCCGAGGCTTGCTCCCTAGTGGGATCTGTGCCCTGGAGCCTGTGAAGCCAGCCAGCTCCTCCCAGTGATTAAGCTGCAGGGTTACCAGGAACTACCTATAAGTTTAATTGTTTTCTTCCAAATAGACAACTAACCTCTGTTCAGGCTTTTATCCCTAGGAAAGGGATAAACTCTTGTTTTCTCTGGGTGCTGGGGTTTAAACCCAATGCCTTGCAAATTACACAAACTCCTGAAATTTAGTAAAGAGGTGTAGCTTGATGTGGAGTGTGCGCCTTACTTTGTCTGAAGCCCAGGGTTCAAGCTCCAGTACAGTGGGTGAGGGTCACTGTCCCTACAACTTTAAATCCATAAATGTCTATCTTCTTGATTCTTAGCCACCCAAATTATGGCTCAGTCTACAGTTACTCCCCTGATCACCCCTAGGATGTCCCACCTGCTATAAACCCTCCAGCCCCGCCCCCTCCCCCCAGCCTTCCAGGCTCTGGAACTGTTTGTTCTCATCCACAAGGTGTGAAATCCATATATTTGATCTACTTTATCTGATCCACATAGCTCCATCTACCTCATCTGCAAGCCTGGTGGCCATCCAGCTGGTGACCGAGGCCTTAGAAGACCCCTGTGCCCCAACCTGAAGCCATGCATCGCCCCCGCTTGGCTCTGAGCTTCCAGTTTATCTCAGATGACTTTTTAAAGGGGGGTGAGGGGGTTCCTGGGAGCCAGGCTCAGGCCTGTCATCCTAGCTACTCAGGAGGCTTAGATCTGAGGGTCACAGATCAAACCCAGCCCCAGGCAGGAAACTGAAACTCAAATCGAATACGTTACCAGAAAAAGCTGGAAGTGGTGCTGTGGCTCAAGGGGTAGGGCACTCACCTTGAGCTGAACAGCTGAGGGACAGCGCCTAGGCTCAGAGGTCAAGCCCCACGACCGACAAAAATAAAAAGGGCAGTGCAGAGCTCCATCTCCCCAGCCCCACTGAATCTAGCTTCTGAGTCAATGTTAAGGTTCTGACCTGACTTCCACTATTTATCTTTTTTTTTTTTTGTCGGTAATGGGGCCTGAACTCTGGGCCTGGGCGCTGTCCCTCAGCTCTTCAGCTCAAGGCTAGGGCTCTACTACTTGAGCCACAGCACCATTTCCAGCTTTCATCTGCTTATGTGGTGCTGAGGAATCGAACCCAGGGCCTCAGGCCTTCAGGCATGCAAGGCAAGCGCTCTACCACTGAGCACCTTCCCAGCCCACTATTTATCCTTATTTACCAGGGAACAATTCCTTTGGTTTGTTTTTCAGTTCATGTGAGCTGTCCAGTCAATTTCCTGAATGTTTTGATCACTGTGGGTGCCTGCTTCTCCTTTATTTCCTGAACCCTCTGTTCTCTGCTTCTTTAAGGCCAAGGTCATTCTACCAGAAGGTGTTAACTTTTGACTGGCTCCCCAACACCCTATTTGCCTGCATGGCTCTCCCAGGAGGGCCTGGGGAGGTGTCTTGCTGGTTCTCCACCTTCCTCTCCGTGGTGCTTCCTGTCCCTGCATCCAAGGCCAGCAGGCCTGGTTTCCTGACGCCCGGTCCTACCGTCTCAGAGCACAGGGTCCCTGGGCCTTGTGTGACTGCCTGGAACACCAGACTTGGACTGGGCGCGCATCTGGTGTCCTCTTTGGACCCCAATCTCCTTGGTCATCATGGCTACCCTGTCTCAGCCATCAGTACCTCCAGATCTGGTCCCTTATCCTCGTGTTTACAAAGGTGCTGTCTGTCTGTGTTCCTGGGTATATCTAGCTTCTTGTCAGCAGCGCCTCATCTGCACAGAGCTAAACAGAATGTTCTAGAGCTGCACTGCTCAGGATGGCAACCACAAGCCCCGTGTGGTTGCACAGCCCTTGAAATGTGAACGTCCACAGAACCGAATAAGTACTTTCATTTCATTTCACTAAAAAAACACACTGCCATGGGGTGGGGGGTGGGGGGGGGTGGAGTTTGCTGGGAAGGTGTCTCAGTGGTAGAGCGCTAGCCTTGGGCTGAAGAGCTGAGGGACAGCGCCCAGGCCCCACGGCTGGGACTGGCACGCGCGCGCCCGCACACACACCGCCAGCGCCTCGTTCAAGTTAGGTATCCGGGTCTCCAGGCCCTGGCGGTGCGCAGGCGCCGGACCCGGCCGGGCCGCGCCTCCCAGGCCGAACACCACCGCTCAGCTCCGCTCCACGGCCCGAGCCAGACGCCGGCCGCCCACCGGGGCCCCAGGGGAGTGGGGGGGGGGGGCGCCCGGGGGGCCGGCGCGGGTCCCGGGCAGGACCACCACGGTGCACAGCACGCGGGGCGCCCGGGCCGCCCTCCCCGAGGCCCGGCTGCGCACGGGGCGGCCGCGCGCTCCCTAGCAGCACCCGAAGTGCTGGGGTCTCGGAACCGGGCGTGGGGACCCGCGTGGGAGCGGGTGGGGAGCGGGCGGAGGGGCGGCGGAGCCGCGGGCGGAGGGGCCGCGGGGCGGCGGAGCCCCGGGCGTGGGGACCCGCGTGGGAGCGGGCGGCCCGGGGCGGGGCGATGCGAGGGGCGGAGCCGCGGGCGTGGGGACCGAGTGGGAGCGGGGCGCGGCGGGGCGATGCGGGGGGCGGAGCCCCGGGGTAGGGACCCGCGTGGGAGCGGGCGCCGACGGGGGCAGGGCCATGCGGAGGGAGGGGCGGGGCAGGGGCGCCGGCCTCTCCGCTCCCCAGAGCTCACCTGGGCGGCCCCTCTTGGGCAGAGGCGAGCCGGGTTGGGGCGCGGGCACAGGGGCGCGGGGACGAGGCTCGGGGGCGCGGGGACGGGGCGGCGCGGGGGCGCGGGACGAGGCTCGGGGGCGCGGGCACAGGGGCGCGGGGACGCGAGGACGGGGCGCGGGCACAGGGACGCGGGGACGGGGCGCGGGGGCGCGGGGACGGGGCGCGGGGGCGCGGGGACACGGGGACGGGGCGCGGGCACAGGGGCGCGGGGACACGGGGACGGGGCGCGGGGACGGGGCGGCGCGGGGGCGCGGGACGAGGCTCGGGGGCGCGGGGGCGCGGGGACGGGGCGCGGGCACAGGGACGCGGGGACGGGGCGCGGGGACGCGGGGACGGGGCGCGGGCACAGGGGCGCGGGGACGGGGCGCGGGGACGGGGCGCAGGCACAGGGGCGCGGGGACGCGGGCACAGGGGCGCGGGCGCGGGGACGCGGGGACGGGGCGCGGGCACGGGCGCGGGGACGCGGGCACAGGGGTGCGGGCACAGGGACGCGGGGACGGGGCGCGGGCACGGGCGCGGGGACGCGGGCACAGGGGTGCGGGCACAGGGACGCGGGGACGGGGCGCGGGGACGCGGGGACGCGGGGACGGGGCGCGGGCACAGGGGACGCGGGCACAGGGGCGCGGGCACAGGGGACGCGGGCACAGGGGCGCGGGCACAGGGGCGCGGGCACAGGGGCACGGGCACAGGGGACGCGGGCACAGGTGGCGCGGGCACAGGGGCGC